GCATCCAACAGGAACACAGGGCTGTGTGCCCTTTCCCCACCACTCTCCTCCCTGGTCTGACGTGCAACGTGGGCATTAGTGCTGGGGGCATGTAGAGGTAGGTCCAGGGGGGCACACAAGAAGCATTGTGGAGAATGAAGTGGTCACTGTGCGTCCTGGCAAGAAGGCAAGCTGGCCCAGAGGGCACCCAAATAGTGGTTCAGGATGCACACCATGCCCCAGGAGCAGGTCTGAGAAGCACAGAGAGCCGGGGAAGTGCCTGGACACACATAGGCACCCCAAACTCCTTCTTTCCTTTGCCAGCTGTGACCACAGATCCTCTTGGGCAAAAATCTGGGTGCAATGAACAGCCACAGCCTGGAACACAGCTCCTTTCCACGTGATATGGGTTCTGCTGGCAGCACTATCCCCTGCAGATTGGTCCAACCACTCTACTTCCCTGTCCAGTTTTCACTTGCTTCCTTAAAACCACCTGGAGTTTTGTCCTTGCACTGTTAGATGACCCAAGGGCCTGCTATGTCTCCATGGACCATGAAGGAGACCTCCACGATCAAGGTTACCATTATCCAGCCAGATTTCAGGCCCCCGATGGGCACTGGATAACCCTGGACAAGGAACGGTTCTGCTGCCCAGCAAAGCTACTCCACCAAAGCTCCCCAGGGCTCCACCACTTGGCCTTGCAGAGCCTCCAGAAGGTACCCGACCATGCCAGGAGGGACACAGTGGGTAACATCGTGCTGTCAGGGGGCTCCTTGATGTTTCCTGGCTTTCCCAAGAGGATGTGCTTAGAGTTGAATGCCCTGTTCCACGGCACTGGCTGCCAGATTCAGGTCCTGGCGAGCCCGGAGAGGGGCACAGCACCCCTCCTGGGTGGAGGGGGCTCGATGGCAGCGTCGCTCACGTCCTTCCAGCGCGCGTGGATGGCAAAGGGCGAGTACCAGGAGCATGGTGCCGAGTACATGCACAAGATATTCCAGTAGGCAGACGACGACCATGCACTCAAAGCATCCCACCAGCAGGGCATAGCTCCTGCTGCAGGAAGATGGTCTCCGAAACACTGCCTTGCTCCGGGCAGAGCTATGGCGGCTGTGGTGACCGAGGGCCAGCTCCTCTGCTGCTGCAGGAGCGCGAAGTCAATTCAAACGCTCCCAAAGAAGTAAACTACTACTCATTTACACTCTAGGTTATTTCTGTGCCTATCCACCACAACTCTAATAAGCACGTGTCCGATCAGGCTGGCAACACAACCGCGGCTTGTGCTGTTAATTCAGGACCCGCCGACTGTCTGGGTACAGCCAGGCGACAGCCGAGCCCCAACACTCCAAGCTGGAGGCCGTGCACATCTAGAGCACTGCTGCAAAGCTGTCTTGAATGCACTGCCTGCAGCTGCTGGCACGGGGAAAGGGGCTGCTCCAGCAGGCAAGAAAGCTCCTTCTAGCAGTCAGTGCAGCAGAACCCCTGAGGTCCGTGGGGAGCCACAGGGGTGGGAGGAACGAGCTGAGGAGGAGAAGGTCCACACGGTGCCTGCACTGCAGCAACTTTGGGTGGTAGGTGGATTTCTGATCTTGCCACTGAAGCGGCTCAGCACTGGGTACAGAGGATGAGCCAGTGAAAACCAGGGAACTGAATTCACTCTTTGTAATTTTGGTATAAAGGTCATTTGGTGCTTCAGGGAGCCGATTCAGCTCACTGAACAGGCAGAAAAGCACTCACCCGGCTTTGGTGCTGCTTTAGCGAACTGACTCAGCTTAGCAGACGATTAGAAAAGGATCAGAAGTTGCATGGAGGAAGCAGCTGGGAAGCACTGCCCAGCTGTCATAGCAGACTCCTTTCCCCATGGCCAGCCCCCATGCTCAGCTCCTCAAGGGACACAGAAACCATGGGACATCACTGTGAGCATTAAGAGAGACAGGACTGGCTGTAGGAGGTCAAGGAAGGAGTCTCCACCTGATGCAGGAGGGCTGGTTGCTCCACAGGAGCATCCACCAGGAGAGGTCAACCCCTTTCCTTGACAAGACGAGGAGACAGACTGGACCAGAGTCACCTCTGCCTTCCGTGTCGTGTCTTCATCGCCCCCAAGGCTGCAGCACAGACCAGGAGCCAGGCTGCCTTCACCCCCCCAAGCACCATGAACTCCCTCTTTCATGTCCAAAATAAAGTCCAGCAATGCTACCGTATTACTCAGGTCAAATATTTCCAATTCCTACTGTGTTTCTCTCCAACACACAGGAGAACTGAGGATCTTGAATTCCAGAAGCTCTGCACAAAAGCACGTGGATGTAATCATTCCGATGCTGGTGTCAAAAACCTGTTGGGGAGGGGGGGCCGCAGGGAGGGTCTTGAGCCCCACATGGTTTTCTGGTTCCTCTGCGCCACAGCTGAGCCACCAGCTCAGTCCCGGAGCTGCGTCTGCCTGGGGCTGCTGGCACAGCTGCAGCTGGCCGGGAGGGGAAGGTAAGTGGAGAGGATGCTCACCTACCGAGCACTGCCCCGGGCTCGTGCTGGAGCGGGGGAAGGAAGGCCACAGCCACTCCCCACACCCTCCCACCACCTGGGCGAGCAGAGTCCTCTGCCCAGCGGCTGCGCTGCCAGTGGGGTTTCATCTGTGCTTGTTTTCATCTGTGCTTGAAAACGAATCTCATTTTTCTGCCAGAGGAAGAGGATAGCAGCAAAGCCGATCCGATGTGGCCGTGGGAAGCTGAGCTCCACCTCTGCATCTCCAGGCTTTCCCCAGCCAAGCATCCCACCTGCTCCCACAAGCTTTCCTTTTCCTCGGCCCTAGAAGATCGAGAGCATGGGGCCGGGGACTCCAGGCAGGGACCCTGCCGCTCCCCCTGCCCACTCCTTCACCTCCTCACTCCCAAGGCACCAAAATCCCTGCCAGCGCCACTCCTCTGTGCTTGCTCAGCTCCCGCCAGCCCAGACATGCATCCCCTGCGTACAGGGGAACAACCGACACTCAAACCTCCCCAGGACAAGCCTGAGAAAGAAAGGTGAAGAATCCTAATTGACTGAGTCCCCACGGGGGCACAGCAGAAAGAATACGTTATTCATGCACTGCATGGCCAGGCACAGTCTGTTTCATTTCAGGAGTTGGTCCAAATCCAAATGCTGTCACCCCTCCTTCTGCAGAGACCACTTCCCACAGCAAGCGGCCTCCGCAGCCCTGTGGACCTGCTTAATGAGGTGTGCTCCCATCTCCGATGCATCCTGCCCAGTCCCCCACCGGGGCTGGCTGTGGTCCCCACAGTCTTGGCAGATGGACGCTTCCCCTTGCATGGGGCCCAGATGCTTCCTCCCCGACCGCATCGCTCCCCTTCAAAGGGCGAGGTGCTGGGAGAAGCCCCGGCGTCAAGCCAGCCTCCCAGCACTCCCCATCCTCTCAACTTTCATCCTGAGGATGGCCTAATCCTGATGTCCTCTGTGGATGATGTCGGTGGATGAAGTTTTATCGCAGGAGCAGGCAGCTGCTCCCACTGACATCGTGTCACGGCTGTGGGGGGCACATTCAGCCTGCCCTGAGTCCCGCAGCTTGCCCCAGTGCAGTCCTTACACCCAAACACGCAGGCACAGGCACCAGCCTGGGGTGCCACCCCCCAAAACCCAACTACCAGCCCGGGGCATGACGTGCTCAGAGAGGACTCAGCCTGAAGCTCACCGTGCAGAGGGCTCCCCGTCCTCCTGGTCCCAGCACACCCCAGCCCACCTTGCAAGGGCAAAGCAGGATCCCACACAGACATGTCAGTATTTCAGGTGAGCATTGCACACGACGAGCCAGCTGCCTCCCGTCTCTCACCTCATCAAAAACAGCACACCCAGGGGAACGCGCCAGAAAGAAGGATGGAAATAACCATCTCCCAAGAGAGCCCCAAATGTTGTTTCACCCTTCTGCATCGATTTAGAAAATTTCATGCCAGGGGAGAGAATCAATTGAAAATGCACCTTCTCTTCAGTTCAGCTGCTCGGCCCTCTTCGTTCTCCTCACTTGTGGGCAAACAAGCAAAGCCCTCTCATCAGGTGTTGCACCACGCAGTTCAAACCCCTCTGTAAATAGAGGCTCAATAAAAATGTGCTCTGTCTCACTGAGCGCAGCATTTTCTGCTCATAGCAAAGACTCATGGAAAGGAGTCACAGAGGAAATAACTCAGCAAGCACGAGACAAGGCTTTTTGGGTTGTGGACTGGTATTTCAGCTCCATTGACCCAGATGAAAATCCCAAAGTTGCCAAGAACTGTTGTAATTCTGCTTTTGAGAGGTTTTATTAGTTTCTTATGATGATAGTTAAGCTCCGGACTGAGTGGAGTAGGTGATCGCATAATTCCCGCCAAAGGAGAAACAAGAGTGCCTGACTTGGAGAGGTATTTATGGATTAGTTTGCAGTGTTTACAAAATGGAGAATGGAAAGATTTTAGCATACAGGTCCCCTGTGAGAAATATCAGACCGTTTCCCAAGGTATTTCCACAGTTCACTTCTTACTCTGACACTATTATACTGCAAATGCAAAGCTTAGCCATGGGGTAAGCTGTATTTAGTATACTGAAGCATAGCTATCAGCAGTTATATTTTACAAATACAAGTGGGAATGGCGGAATTTGGAGAAAACCCCTCTTTCCTTGAAAAGGCATCTTTTCTTTACCATGTTTCTACCAACCCAGGGAGGGAGCATAGGAACCCCTAATGATTTGGTTTCCTCCTGCCAACCTGGATGGTTGACCACGAGCAGGTTTGCCGCCCACACATTCACTATTTCCTTCAGTAATTGCAGTCACTTACACAGCAAGAAGGACGAACCCAGCTTGTTTATCACAGCGCTTTATCCTGCAGTTGACAACGTGCACAGCAGACAGCAGATCGAGAAGCCTGCCGGTGAGGAGGCAGCCGCTGACACATGCCATTGATCCAGTCCAGTTACCCTGGCCCGCAGCAACCACGATGGCATGCACGGAGGTGGGAATCCTCAATACCAAAAAGGCTTTCGGTGGCACTGCTTCAAACCACAGCTCCCAAACACACAGCCACAGCATATTCCTGCCGAGCTTTGGTTTCTTTATTTCCCTCTCTCTCCTCCCTGTAGCTCATCGCCCTGACATAGTCTGAGCAAGCCTAGCGCATCGCCCAGGCTCTGCTTTTGTTGTGCTAATGAAGCAGCCCATGCTCTCTGTTTTCCTCCTTGTAAAGTGGACTCATATTTTCATAAGCCTTTTTACAGCTGTGGGGTAAGTACCTGGGGGATGCTGGGGTGAGTAGTTCTGTGGCAGCAGAAGTAAGGAACTACCTGAGATGGACCATGCCCTAACCAGAGATGCTGTGGTTCAACCGGTGAGAGCCAGCTCAAGTCAGAGATCCCCTTCTTCTTCTAGCTGGTCTGGGTATCGCTGCCTCCTCAGGAGTCACGTGAAGCTCTCTTAAATACAGCCTGGGGAAAAACAGGCAGGGACTGAAGATCCTCCAACATCTGTTGACTCCACAGCCCTGTTCTGGAAGCACAGCTTTATGGTGAGGGCTGTTGGAGCGGGCAGGTCTCTTCCAGTTTGCTCAGCAGACAGCACAGCTGCATCTCCAGCAAAAGCAGCTCCACAGAATGAAGTTTCATTCAGCTCTTCCAAGAGGATGGTTTCTCTGCCAAACTGGGGCTCTCCATCCTCAGCCATGGTGGCATTAGAGGTGTTTGAATCCACAGAGTTGAGGGACAGACGTGTAATATGGAAAATCTCTGTTCTCTGCTCCCTCCCCTGGCTCAGAGAGGTGTGAGCTTTAACTAAAATCCAACCTAATAAACCCACTAATCCGTAATAACCCAAGATCGATTCCCATTCTGGAAACACAAACATGGGAATATATTCAGGTCAGAGGAGGTAAGAATGCAGCATTTATCATCTCTGCCAGCCTCTGACAGCGGCAGATTTCCCACAGCTCTGCAAGAACCCTAACCACACGGTTGGAGCATTACCCTCTCCTGCCTTCTCCCCAGTGCAGAGCCCAGCAGACCAGGGAAGCGCAGGGAGATGCTTCCTGGGAGGGTCAGTATCTGCATCGGGGCACCCAGGAGCTCAGGGCTGGGATCAGGGCACCCGGATCAGCACAGACCTCACCCAGGTGAGAGCAGTGCTGTGAACATTGGGCTGCCCTGGCCCCCTGGCTCCGGGCAGATCCAAACACGAGTGGAAAAGCAAGTCCACAAAGATCTGTTTCGACAGGGAAAACCTGCTTCTTTTTTCCAGGGAACACCTGTGGCACCAGAAACTATTAAGTGAATGAATACATCATACCAATACTGTGAAGCGACAGTAAATGTCCTTCGGAGAAATACACGAATATATAAATTCATTACCAAAAAAAACAAAACAGAAAAGAACTGAAATAAAGCCTAGCTCTCTGAAGAGGATTCATTCTCTCCCTCTGGACTTGCATTCAATAACTGTGAAGGGGGCTGGGCAGCTGAACCAAAGAGAAAATGCATTTTCAAGGGATTCCCTCTCCTGGCATGAAATTTCCCAACGTACAGGGAGACACTGCTGAGGCTGGATCTGGCCAGAGGGAAACTCAAAGAGAGGGGAAGATCACTAGAGAGGCACAAACACCACTTCCAATGACTCTGCAGAGCTGACAGCTGGACCGGTCCCCCTTCGTTTCTCTGCTCAATCAATAGGTCAGTGGACGGTGTGCACATGGATGATGCCCTTCATCTGCTTCTTACCAAGCATCGAACCACCACATTGAACGGAAAGAAAGGGCTGGTCCTTCCCATGGCTGTAAAACAGCATCAGCCCCAAGCACACGGCTAAACCATTTAATACATTTTGGACGCAGAGGTCCCCAAGGAGGGTCCCTTCCAGTATTTGCCACTGCTTTTTTGCAGCTGTATTTAGCCCGTGATGCTGCGCACTGCAGACCTCTGCCCTCTGATGCAGAAGCAGGCGAGCTCACAAAGCAGGAGGCTGCTTGCCCTAATTAGCAGCCTCCAATCTGCCTCCCATCGGTACAAGCTGCAGGGAGAGGGAGAGAATTCACCGCAGGGATGAACTTGGCACAAGGCTGGGAGTCAATGAATTTCACCCTTTCCTACCTTCTCCCAAGTGCCTTGCCGTTTCCCAAAGCAGCCTTCCCGCCACAGCAGCTCCTGCCCCCTCAGCGGCCGCCAATTTTTGTCGCTGTGAGCACAGGCTGTGCTAAGCACAAGCTGCTGGGGTCAGTTCAGAGCAGGCTCGACCCCAGAGTCCCCATTTTGCGCCACACTGCTTTGTAGAAAAGACCTTGCTTTGGCTCAGAGGTGCCACACATAGGTTATCAGTGATGCTCCCAGAAACAGTGTCCCCAGGCAAGACCCTGCAAGTGGTCCGCAAGGAGCTGTTGAAACAACCGCTGCCAGAGCCCTACGAGGAAGGAGAACCCAAAGACATCTCCAGAGCACAAAAGCATTAGCCCTACCCTTCTCCTCCAGCACGGCTCCCCCTCCTCCAGGCATGCTGCAGGCTGTGCTGCTGCAGCACTCACTGCACAAGGAGACAACCGAAGCACACACAGGCAACCCCATTGATCTGGGAGGTACCACGTTTGCTGCCTCTGACACCTAAGTTTAATGCTAAGCAGCTAAGGTCACCACGGCTTCTGTTATGCACCCACCTGCCCCACTGCCCTCCCGCGGTCCCACCCTTACCAGCTTGGTTTTGTCCATGGCTGCCAGGACTGCAGAGTTGAGGGCTTCCAGGGCGGAAAGCACATTCCTGTATTCTCCGAGATAGGCCGAGAAATAATCTGAAGCAGGAGAGAAGACCACGGTGAGCTTCCCGAGCACCTCCATCCCTGCCTCCCCTGCACTTACTGCTTCCCGCATACAGCCCAGCGCTGCAGGGGGGCATTCGCATCCCTCTCCAGAGTCACGCTCCCACCTGGACTGAAATGAATCCTTTCAAATCCCCAGGGACAAAATCTCCCATCCCCTTAGGAAAACCACAGATGACCTCTGTGCTGGGATTCAGGCACAGGGATTGTCAATGCCACTTGACCGCCCAGCCCTGCCCAGGTCAGACATATACAAAGCCCCACCACAGACCCTCGAGAGAGGAAGCCCTCTGAGGCAGGAATATGAGCTTACTTACCACACAATTTCTCCGTGTCCACGTTGCTACAAGAAACAGAAAAATAAGCTCTTGTTAGATGATGTGAGGCTGGTTCGGGAGAAACAGTTGTGGTGAGCAGGGTCTTGAGGGCTTGTCTTGAGTCCCCAGTGGATTTACTGCTCCTCCCATGTATTTTCAAAAGCTGTATTAGAAAAATAAAAAGCTGCACAAGTTTAGAGCCAGCAGCTCAGAAGCCATGCCCAGCACCTGCAGCACCCAGGCAGGGCTGCAGAGCATCACCTCTGCTTCAGGGGCTGAAAGAGCAAGCAAAGCTGCTCCCACCACCATCTCCTGGAGCTGGAGTGCGCTGGGAAAGTGTCTGTGAGAGCAGAATGAGGCTGCGAGGGAGGTAAGGGGAGACAGGCAGCACCGCACACCCCTGGGCTGGCAGCCCCATTTCTGAGCCCTGGAGCTGACGAGCCCCAGAAGCTGCTTCTTCAACACAACCCCTTCCTCCAAAGGTGCGAAGCATTCAGCCAGGGCTCCCTCCTCGTCTCCCTTGACCTCAGCCCAGGTCCTCCCTCATGGCTGCCCCATGAGGCATGAGGCACCCTCCTCTCCCATCTGCTCCATGGGTGCCCCTGGCTGCTCCTCCTCTTCCCTGTCTTCAGAGCCTGGGTGATGTGGGGCTGGCTTCAGGGCAGGGGACTGGATGGCTTCATGGCCCGCAAGAGGAGTTGTTCTTGCTGTGAAGGCCATTAAAGCAGGGATCTGGGTCCAAAAACCTGGAGGCGGGGGCCAGCCCCCCACCCCTTTTTCAGTAACAGAGAGCACTGCACCGGAGAATCAATGCTGGCATCCCTGCAGGGCTTGGACAGGTCCCTCCTGTCGCTGATAAAGGCGCTGCTGGGGTGGAAGGGGAGGAGGAAATGTCCAGAAATAGCCACGTTTTCGGGATGGGATGTCAAGCAGAACCGTGGCTTCGCGTAAGCTGTCAGATCCACTCAGGTGGAACTGCTTGCAGAACTGCTTGCTCTGCCCGGCATCACCTGCAGGGAAATGCCCCAGGATATCGTTTATTCAAATCAGCCTCTGCTCAAGAAATTCTGCTGTCTCAAAATCCCCTAAATGATTACAACCATTTTTAATCCTGATTGGGAAAGTGGAAGAGAGCACAAAAGAGAGTTTTTTAAGTGTTTAAGTGCTGTCACATGTGGAGGAACCAGTGATACCTGGAGTTTGCTGGGCTCCAAGCGCAAGGATGGCTGCAGTGCCGCTGCCCGGGGCAGTCAAACCACGGCCGCATCGCCCTGCCCCCCTGCTGACACTGTCCACAAGGCAAAGGGACAAAAATGCACCGAGGTAAAATTAGCGGAGAGTGTGGGAAGTGTCCAAAAATGCCAGGCCAAGTACAAGTGTAATAATTTCAGCAAAATCTTCCCACAGCTTTTCCCCCCGAAACACTAAAGGCTGCATCTCTCTTTCTGCTGGGTTTCCACTTAGAGTACTTTAATAATAGGCAGTGCTTCTAGTCATCAAAATATTTTGCTGTGAGACATCATTGCAGACCCGCAGCAGTGGGACTGCAGACCCTCCTGTTTAGCTAATTGCATCAGGCGCCTTCTTAGGCAATGGAGACGGGCAGTTTTAGGATGTGATTTGGCTCATCTATTTTAAACACCTACCGCAGGAGCTGATTAAGGCAGGGCTCTGGCGCACTGTCCTGGCACTGCAGACAGTTTTTAAAGTGGATAAAAAGTGTTTCCCTTGAGACGCAATACAGATAATCAGCAAAACCACAGCCCCTTCTTCTGCTGACTCCACTCCATCAAACTTTGCTGATCCCATCTCTGAGCAGCTCCAAGCATCCAACCACAGCTCTGCTAGATAGAGTGACTGGGGTTTGAAGCACAAATTTAAATTGGAAAAATGTCTTGCTCCTTCTTAATTTTTCCACGTATTTCTGAAAGCTGCCTGGAGCCTTGCAGAGCCGCTCCTGCTGCACTGCCACAAGAGACTTGGCACCACAGCACCCGCAGCACTGCTTGTTAAACCCGTGCCCCAGAGCAGTAACTGCAGCCACTGGTTCCCATCCAAGAGATGGGTGAAAGCCACAAATGGATATGGACATGAGATAACAAAATACACAGTGAAACACCTAATGCACACGTTATCCAGGCATTTGCATCCGTCCCCAGTGAGAACCTGGGGCTGGGACTGGTTTCACCAAGAAGAAGAAGAGGCCACCAGCTCAACCCACTATCCAGTTCCCCACCTCGGCTCCAGCAAGCAGGCATCTGTGTGACAAAGAGCTACTATCAACACCAACCCTCTGGCTTCTAAGGAGAGGCCAAGAGATTATTAATAGCTCTTTCTATCTTCTCTGTTTGCTGCTTAAAAACAAACGTTAACTAATCATTCACTAAAACACTGAACAGTTAAACACTGAACCAATCACCAAGATCTTGTGGCAAAAATCAGCCCTCTGGGAGTTGTCCAGTGGAAGATCTGCTCCCTTCCCAATGCAGCCTGGTCCGTCAGCAACCCTGCATGGCCACCTCTTCCCATGTTCCGCATCCTGCAGCAGCCCCTAGGGCACACTTAGGGGCAGGACGGAGCGCAGCAAGCAAATTGCAGGACCGATGGTGCCATTTTCATGCTACCAGAAGCTACTTCATACCAGAAACCAGGAGGAGCTCATGTAAAGAACCTTCACGTCAAATCCTGACCCATTTTGCAGGGCTGCAACGGGGCAGCAGGCTTTGCTCCGCTCCTCTCTCTGCCATCCCCTCTCCCACTCCAAGAGAAGAGCCATCCTCTGCCTCCAAAGTACTCATCCTGAGACTCTCCACATTTCCAAATAGCTGTATTTTGACTGTGCTCAAATCACTAATTAACTGTAATTAAGCTTGAACTGATGATGAAGGATCTTGTCATCATTACGCTATTGGGATTTTGTCAGAATGCGCCTGGAATTTATGCAAGAAAACAGCAATCAGCTTCAGCAAAGCAGATGGGAATTTTTTTATTTTTATCATTTATCATGTTGGGAACCTCTGCTGCCATCACAGATCTGGTTTCCAAACCTTTTCAGTGTGATCCAGAGTGTTTCAGCCACTCTCCATCATTCAAAGACTGGCAGACGCTGCAGTTCTGGGTCTCTGACTAAAGAGAGGGGAGGAAAGTTCACACAAGTCCCTTCTTCCACAGAACCAGAGGCTTGAGGTTATTTTCACTGAGAGTTTTTAAAAACCACCAGGTCAGCACTCTCACCTCTTTTACTTGTGGCTCAACATCAGAGACATAGGCTCTGGGCAGTCTGTACCAAATTCCTGCCACCACCATCTGACCGCTCTCACACAAAGGATTTGCCAGACCTTATTTTTCTAAATTTTCCCAGCAGATGCAGGACAGAAAGACACGCGAGGTCCACACGACACTTCCCTGGGCAGGTTTCACAGTCCCCTGCAAAGAGCAGTAGGCATGCAACCTATGCAACCTATGAACTACAACGTTCAGTCCAAAGCCCTTTTTAACCGACTCTCTGCTAAGTTGTCCCCGTGAGACCCTGGGATCTGCTGCCATCCCGCCTTGCTGGGCTGCAGACGGGCACACGGTTGCTCAGAAACCAAACCGCACTATGCGTCTCCCAAGACGCTTCTGCAGCAATGTAGCTTTTTCATCCCTTCAAGACATTTGTCTCTTCTGACCCAGACGTTTCAGTGGATGAAAACGCACTTTTCCAGAAGATGAATCTTTCTGTTCTGTGCCAGTGCCAGAGCTGGCGTGGAACTTTCTGACAAGCTAAAAGCAACAGTGGACCTAGCTGTTGTACCAAACTGCAATAAAGAGTTGAATTCAGTTTCAACATTATTTTTTAAATGTCAAAGAATTAGAGCAAGGAGATATTTGAAAGCCAAAATGGAACAATTTTCAGAAAGGCAGAACAAAAAAAGCCTCATGGGGAAACGTAAAATCTGAACCAAATGCAACAGAGGTGCCTGATGCACAGACCACAGCGTCCCACCCAAGCGTGGGGTGGATGGGAAGTGGAGCAAAGATCGGATGGGAAGGATGGGCAGAAGAGGAGAGCGTGGTGCTGTGGGCTCTCTGGAAGGAGAGCAAGTAATGTATGAAACCTCCGAAACATTCATCTTCCCAGATGTCAGCTCTGGACCCAGCGGAGCAGCTGCAGGTTCGCAGTGATGAGTGAGGGTCAGGACGTGTCTGGGCAGTGTTCTGTTACCCAGACACAGAGTGTGCCTGGGTAGAAAGGTCTCCGTTACTCTCTCTCCTTGGGTCAGGCTGGCACTGTCAAAAAAACACAAGTTTCAGCCTAGACCTGAGGAACACAGCACCCTTGTGGCCAAATCCACCCACCGGATTAAGGGTGAAACTTTCCCATCATCAGAAAAGCTACACAAAAGAAGCACACCAGATGTCTGTAGAGCTTGTAGTTGCTTTCCAGCTTTGTAATACTTTGAGTATCACCTCAAGTAATAACTCTTGAATCTGGCAGCAAATTTCAGCCAGCTCTCAAAAATATTAAGTTCCTGCAAGTGCAAGGCAAGCAGGCAGCCTGGAAGAGAGGGGCTGTCCAGCCCCCCGCCGAGGGGACAGCAGGGCACCAGCACAGCCCTTACCAGACACCAGAGGTTGTACAAAGGAGCAAGTCCCCCTGCACACCCCAAAAACAAATGCCAGAAAGTCCAGCTCTACACACAGAGGCACAGAGGCCTCTATGAGGCCCAGCGCGCTGAACACCGCTTGATTTCTGTTACCTGACTCTGTGCAGTGGGCAAGCAGTCCCTGGGCAGCCCCTGGGGACAGATAGGGTCATGCCTCCCTGGGGACAGGCCTGTCTCTCCAAGTCCCTCATCCCAGCAGGCAAGCGGCTCTGGGTCAGGATCAGGCAGTCGCAGCGCAGCCCCACGTTGGGCAGGATGCCTCTTACCAGACAATAAGCTGAGCGCCAGACTCCCTCTCTGGGAGGTCCCACCTCCTCCTCCTCCACAAGCTGGGGATGAAGCTGAAGAAATCACGCACAGTTCCCTGCTGCCACCTCCCACGTCCCGCTCCCGCCTGCTCACACTGAAGCTGTCCCATGCACTGACCCTGCGCATGGACCATGTCCCAGCAAGGGACAGAAACAAGAACTACACCTGCACCGGCCTCAAGGCTGGAACGCAGGGTCCCTTCTGCTCTTCATGGCAGAAAGAGATCAAAGACCCAATGGTCATGCCCTGCTAACAGATGTCACCAGCTCAATGCTGCAACTGCCACGTTGTCATAGCTACCGCACCGTCATTACGGGTAATGAGTTATAGAGAGCACTGCTGCAGCCAGGGCCGTGCATGGCTCTCAGAGACAGCCCACTCGCACGGGGCCCCTTCAGTCAGTCCTGTTTATCTGCTCTGGACAGACGGAAGAAGCCCAACCTGAAAGCCATCGTAAAGCCTAAGATCTTCACCGTTCAGTGAAGGGCATGGTTAAAACTCTTGCAACCCGTGTTTTCCAGCAGTATTGTATGGGGGGTGACTCCAAGGTCACCCCAAAATGGAGCAAGAGGAAAGGAGCATTTGCAGAGCAAAGGAACGGCTCACTGCTACCTCCCTGGGATCACAGCCCAAAAAGACAGAGGTATTTTCAGGCGACACCTCCTGCTGCCCACATCCAATACGCCCAACTGGCAGGACAGGCAGCAACAGACAGCCAGGCTTAAAAGAAAGCGGCACCAGGGGCTGCACACACCCACACACCCATCAGCCCACTTCTCTGCCCCATCACTAAAGTGGGAGCATCAGCTAAAACCACCACCCCGACACTCGGCAGGAGTCAATCATCCCCACTCCCCCAGTCCTGCATGGATGATGTGGGGACTTGCAGCCAGGGACCACTGGGTATCCGCTGTCAGTGGCTCAGTGGCATTCGGCGGCTGTTGGCATCTCAGCATGGCACGGGCCCTCTGTGCCACTGCCCTGGCTCCCTGCAAAGCCCTGGGACCAGGTGTGCAGCTAAGGCTGCTCCGAGTTACCTCTCCCTGGCGGGGACCTGCTCAGACACTGCCCTGGCCAAGGGCATTAGAGAGGTGCAGGAGATGCTTCCTGGGGTGCCAGGGAAGTGGCAGGAGCCAGAGACAAGCCTGCCGCCCAAGACCGGGAGGAAGCTGCAGCCACTTTCTCCCCCAGCAGCATCCCTCCATTTGAACAAGCAGCCCCCAGACACGCATTTTACCAATGGCCAGTTTCTCCCAGTGCCAAAACATGCTCGTTCACAGCGGCCGGCAGGGCAGAGGGACCCCAGCAAGGCCATGCTGATATCCGAAAGACTGGGATGAGAAACCCAGCCGAGCCCAACAGACTCTTCTAGATAGCACCAGTAAAGAGGAGACCAGGGGGTTTCTTTTTTTAAAAGTAGCTGGCCTAAATTCACAGTTACACTCATAAGGCCCACTTCTGGTGGAAAGCCGCTCTTACATAAGTGAAAAGCAGTTCCCTGTGTCAGCAGGGACCATCGTTCACACGTGCTCCTCCTGCAGACACAACCTGCTCTGTAGAGCTGTATATTTCTGGAATACATTTTTCAAACTAACATAATGTAATTTTAAATGTATGCTTGCTTTTACAGAACTACAGTAAATCTGATAATGACTGTTCTCAAAATGTCTGGCTTCTCTCATCACCAATGCTTGTAGCTGGTGTTCAATGGATTTTAACATCTGCGTGTTACAAGGTTTATCTCACCCTGACTATTTATCACACCCGCCTCCAAATGTCCTCCATCTACAGTCAAGCAGTTTTATATTCCCCTTCATCTCCTCTCCTCTGTGCCACCACAATACTTACTCTGAATGACACCTGTCAATTCCACTGAACAACTCCCACAGCTCCTCCGAGCTCAGGATCCCATCAGCGAAATAGTTCTTGAACTCCTCAAATGACAGCTTCCCATCATCTGCATTTAAATAAAAGGGAAGAATAATTATATCTCTGCAGAAAGAAGCATGCAGGCCCCAGCAATCCTCCGCCCAGCAGCCTCTCTACTGGGAGCGTGGGACAGTTGGGCGTGTTGTGCATAATAATTAGAGCAGATATCTCAGTGAAAGCATGTCCCACCAGTCCCCATCAAAAACCCAGGAGCGCTGGCAAGCAGGGCCACTGCTGCGGGAATTTCAGCCCCTTCCAAAAGACCCCACTGAAACATTTTCAGAAACGCATGCAGACACTCTGTATTTAGATGACTGTCCAAGCTGACTGTCCAAGTAAAGAGTCCACTACAAACAGCACAGTGAGGACAGCATCAGGTTTTTATGGAAAGAAAATCTCTCCATTGACTCAAGAGCTTTTTCCTTCCTCTCTGTGGAGGACTTCAGCTCCTGGGCTGCATTTTGATCTGCAACAAAAGCAGCTCCTGGAGCCTGCAAGCTAGCATGAAGGAGAAGAGTCCAAGAGGGGATAGGAAGGCTCAGAGAAATAACTATGATTTTGGTGCCAGATTAAAAACAGGGTAGCAGAGCCTAAGTCTCAAATGCCAGGGGCTCCAGCGGGCATCCAGGAACAGGGCCACCCAACCGGGGGCACCTGTAAAACTCTGGACTGCGCGCAGAGACTGAATCAATCCTGTAAGGGACAGAGCAGAAGCCTGACAGCCCCTGGGCTGCCTGCTGCCCAGCTTGCTTTGCCTTCCCTTCTCACTGCTAGCAGTGCAGAGGAGAGATTGTGTGCATGCAGAGAGGAGAAGGGCTTGGAAGGGGCTCTGTCCTGCGTGGTGCACGGACGGTGAATTGGGGGAGCCCACTTCCCCAGCCCCTGGCCAGACCCTTTGCTCCAGTGCGTTTTCCTCCAGGCAAAGCAGAAAAGCATTTTTCTTGCAGCCAGAGAGCTGCATACCCTTATCCTCCTTCACTCTTTCAGCCAAACCTCCCAGCAGGGATGGGCTGCACTGCTTCACTCAGACCCGGGCAGGGAGGGGGAGGCAGCAGCAGGAACAAAGCACTCACCGTTCTTGTCGGCTCGTCGGAAAATCTGCAAGAGAAAATACGACAGGGTTTAGCGAGGCAGCAGGGAGAGCAGCGCGGCTGAACAGCAAGCCAGGCGGCACCCGGCACTGCCACCATGGGAAAACCGCCTCCCGGAGCCCGGGTAACCGCGGAGAAGCCCCCGCTGCCAGCAGGCCAGCGCCGCACAGGCCGCTCCGGGGAAATTCCCCTTCGCAAACAATTAAAACCATTTCTCGCCTCCAATGCACAAAGCTCTCAGCACAGCCGCCGCTGCCCGAGCGAGCCCAGTGCTCACACCAAGCATCTTTTAGAGAACACAGAGGGAGACAAAGTAGAAAGGGCTTTGCTACACCCTTGTGATGGAAAGTGTTTAATTTTTGAGACCCTTTAAATGAAAGAACATTAAGCATAAAACCACTCCATAACAGGAGCACTTTATGCATCACCGCTGGCACTTCACCCGTCTGCACTGAGGAGTAGCTCTTGTCCTGCACTTTGTAATCACCCTTCACAACAATCCTTCCTGCGACACCTCAACATGCACACACACTGTAATTAATAATTAATGAATTAATTAATCTGTAGCTAATTCTGCCACAGAGCACAGCTGGAGAGCTGCTCCAATTCAGGGTCTCAACCCAGGTTCCTAACCCCGAGGCTTCTGCCTGCAGCCCAGAAGAAAGCTAGGGCTTCTCACCCCTGCCTGGCTCCTCTTTCACCAATAATTATCGGAAGGTCTGGGGCTGACTCTGGTGAGGAACAGCATCATTTCTGAAGCCTGGGAACATCTTGCCAGACAGAACAATACAAGGTTTTGGCCAGCACATCCTAACAGAGCCAATGACAGAAAGTTGTGTGTGTGGCAACTTTCTTCTTTTTCATCATCCTGGTTGATGAAGAAATCTGAAGGTCTGAAGAAAGATCAGGAATGAAAATGGGCAGGAAAAGGGGAAAGCGGACTTTGTTGTATTCTTTTCCACACACCTGCAAAGAGGAGACCACTGATAAAACCGCCCCCGGACCAGCTCTGCTCCCTGCCGCAGGAAGACACGTCTCTGCCACCTGCCCCCTCCACCCCCAGCTCCCTTCCGCAGCGCTCACTGACAGCTTTGCTGCGCGTTTTGAGGGCACAGGCCCATATCTAGCCATTGAGATGTCCCTGAAAAATCGCTTTGAGGTAAAAAAACAGCTGCCCAGAGAAACCTCCGCTGCTCACTCCTGAGGAAGCCACTGGCTTGTAACCGGGCAGAGGCTTTTCTGATGCTGGTCCCAGCTGGTCCTTCCCCACGACTGAAACCAGGAGCAGGGACACCTCCTCAGAGGATGCTCTTCTGAACAAGGCAAGCTCCTCCTGGCCCAAGCCGCTGCAGGGAACGGAGGCTGCCCTGAGCCAACCAGCGTTAGGTAACGTTCCCTCCGGGACACGGGCTTCTAGCCGGCCAGGCTGCTGCCCTTGCAGGAAAGCAGGGCGGACGCTCTCTGAACGCCCAGTAGGACTCACTGGATGCGCTTTGGAGCTTTACCACTACCAGCTGAGACAGGAACCCGCAGCTCCCACACGCTGGGGATTTCTCTGGGTTTCAAAGCAAAACTTTCTCCAGGCTAAAGGGTTCACTCGCGCATCAGGGGTCTCACGGCTGCAAGGCTGCACATGCCAGGGCTCCCTGGCTGCCGGGGCAGCTCTGCCTGCAGGCAGGGGCAGCACCAGTGGGTCCCACGTGCCTGTGCCACCCTGCCGCCACCCTGCCTCAGGCACACCACCTTCCATCAGGCAAAAGCTTAATCCTGCAGAGCTCTCTGTCATCAGAGGGACATGTGGCTCATGCAATGACATCTCTATGACTCCAAATGTCACTGAGCCCAGCCAGCTCATCCCAAAGGCAACCAAGTGTCACCCAGGCACTTAAGAAATGCAGATTCAAGTGAGGCCAAACATTTCCCACTCCCAGGCTGGCCTTGCTCAGCAGGGTCTGTCTGCAGGCTAAGAGGGAGAGCACAATTTCGGGGGGGATCCCATGGGGCTGAGAAGGTCTCTGATACGGGGTGAGCCCATCCTGGATTCAGCATAAATCTCTGCAAACAGAGCTGACGCTTCTCCCTCGCACACAGGACCAGCGGTGCATTAGAAAAGCCCTGCCAGTGCACAACACAACAGTTGCCTGAAGTTCAAAATAAATAAATGTGGCACAAGCAGCAGAGCTGCGAGAGCCCTGCGGGGTGAGGCCACATCTGCTCCACATCCCCCAGGGATGGTGGGGCTCCTCGCCGCCTCCAGCGAGCTGCAGAGGGGTGCCTTGGTGAGTGCTGCACGCACTGGAAAACACCGATGGCCCCTGTGCACGAGGCAGGATCCAACTCCAGCCACGCAAAAATAGTGCAGAGCCGTTTCCACGCTCCACAGGGCGACCCCCGGCCCCCCCGGGGCACAGGCACACACAAGGCAATGGCAGGTAAGCGCTGCTCCCAGTGCAAAAGCCCGGCACAGACGGCAGCCCTGGGACAAAGCCAGGGAAAAGTGATGCAAAGCCAAGCTGGGAATGGGATCAGGTCTGCGTCGGCTGCTGGAGAGGCCCTACAGTTAATCCCTCACTTGCACTTGGGGGGGCTGGCAGTCTCAGAAACACAAGGACACTGCCTTAAGCCTGAGAAAGGCACTTCCCTTAGCCCTTGGCTCTCAGGCTTGCATCCGCAGCCCCACTCAGTGCCTGCAGCAGCAGACACGCTGAGACCAATGGAGGAAGCACTGAACCGGCATTTATGTGAGGATGAACCCCCCACACCCCGGGAAGGAGGGACATTATAGAGCTTCTCCCTGCCTGCAGGGCTGGAAGAAACCGCAGCTGCTGGACACACAGCCAGGGACACGCCGGCTGTTGGGGAGGGGACAGCTGCCCTGGGGACACTGTGCTCATCGACTCACCGCAGGCTAACACAGGCTGTGGCCGCACACCGGCGATAAACAGCAGGCTGTCCATGCGGCTTTTCTGAACCTCTTGTACACCGAGAGGGGAGTAAGCAAGCCCTGAGCACCAGCCCGGGGGACAAATCTCCCAGAGGTTTGAGATGTCTGCACAAACAACTGCGATGCCAGCACTGCGGTTTGTACCGCGCCTGCAGCGAAGCATCGCAGGCAAAGCCCTCCTCCTCCTCACCTCTCCTGAAGGCAGGCGATCTACGGGCAGCGAGGTGGCGGCTCTGGTCCCAGGGGAAGCAGCAGCTGCCACCTGGGATCTGTTGTGGGCAGCTCTGCCTTCCCGTTGCCTGAGGGGCAGGCTGGGATCCTGCTCCGCTGCGGCATGGGGCAGCTCGCCCTGACAAGCCTGGAGGGGGCAGCTGGAGACCAGCCAACTGCCCAGACCAAAAGCGGAGATATTAAACTCACCCTGCCAAGCTCCGGAGTTGACGCAGGGGCAAAGGGAGCCACAGGGAAGAGGAAGGGAAGCTGCCAGAACCAGGAAAGCAGTGGCTAGCACTGTTAACACTTCCCATTTTAATTGCCTTAATGACGCCCTGAGGGATAGATGTGGGACTCAGTGAGTGCCTGGAGGAGCTGAGCTGGAACACAGCTGTTACCACCAACCCCCCTCCAGCCCATCTTCCATCAGCCAAGTAATTAGTGCAGTTAATGATGCTGGCTGGAGAGCCCTGCAGTCTGAAATCCCCCCATGGTGGGAGAGAGACCCTTACCCTCCGCTGGAAGCTGTGAGCGCCACCGCAGCCGAGGGAGGCGCGCTTTCCAGCTGCTCCCTGGTGAAGCTGTGAGCGCCACCGCAGCTGAGGGAGCCGCGCTTTCCAGCTGCTCCCTGGTGATGCCAGGAGGTCTCCCAGACGGAAGATCGGACCAGGCATGGCATTCATCTTCCCAAAGTGCTGCCTGAGATCTCCTGCTTCCCTCCTCTCGGATGAGCTGGGACACAGGAGGTGGCACCACCCGGACCAGGACAGGACAGAGATGACAGCTGGCACCATCCTGGGCTGTCCAGGTGCTGGGGCACCACACCAACCCTCGCCCTTAACCCTCACTTGCTTT